ATTCGATATGTCGATCTCTCGCAGCGGTTGCGACAGAAAATGTGGAACGGCTTGCGAAACGGTCCGATAGTCCCCGACGGTAAAAACTCCTGGTCCACCTATGACGTTCGTCCCACACGATAGTTAATCCCCGGCAATTGTGCACGGTGTAATTTCATGTTTTCCCCTGCACGGTTTAATGCGGCGACGAGTGCCGCGAACGGAGTAATAATAACGCGGCGGCGGCTTCGTCGTCTACGGGCATTAAACAAACGTTCCGAGCGTCACCGGGACGCCGGTGAAAGTACAATAGCGAGGGATATTAATGAGCACAAAAGGCTCCACCTTCGTAGCGACGCAATGCACGCTTTTTATTACGTTGCCCGCGTGACTTATATTTAAACGACGCGTCGCGGCACCGATAGTCGTCGTTGCCGTCGTTACCGCCGTCGTCGTAGTCGTCGTAGACTTCGACGTCGTCGTCGTCGTTGTTGTCTGCACGGCGTCGTGACGCAAGCCAGCCGAGCAACCGGGGGAACGATTCGTGTCCGGCGTTATTAGCTCGAGTACCGCGCCGCTGACACTTAAAATCAATTAGCGGTACGCGTCAATTAGAAAGTCGGTCGCCTCTTCCACAGACTCGATTTCTTGCTCCGCGTGCAACAATCGTTCCCTATCGCCCGCTGCAAGCCTTTGACAGCGCTAGACATGTTGCTGGCAATCCGCTAATTTGCTGGAAATTAACGATACAACGGCGGACACGTTTGACAAAAAATATAACCACCGATCCGATGTGCTTACGATCTTTTGTCATTTTATTCGTCGATTTTATGCAACGTTAATTTTGTTACGGTGCCTCTTCGAAACGCGTTGGTTTGTTTATCGATGTTAATGAAACATACGAACATTTTAATTAATTGTCGGGAACTGGATAATTCGCACGTTAACCGCCAACCATGAGTTATCTCGCGGTAGACGCCCACCACGACGCGCCCGATAAAGGTTCATTACCGACAAAGAAAAGGGTTTATTTATATTTTTTACTTATTCTTATTTTTTCTATTTTTAACGTCGACATCTAAGATAGGCTTCTGACAATAATCGATGAAGGTACTTTCAAAAACTTGTAAATAGCCTGTTTGTATCAATTGAAATCTGAACATCGAAGAGCTTGGAATTTTTAGATAACTAGTATTAACTAATATAATGTTTAATTCGCATGTACACATTGTTGAATTTTTGGTATTTGTGAAACATTGTCTATGCGACTATTTATATGATCACTAATATTAACGTAATATAAAGGATCTTGAAAAATCTGTATACATAATTATTATATTAATTAAATTAATATAATTTGAATAAAACTCAAATAAATAGTAGATAATATAAAAAGAAGAAATGATTAAAAGTAAAAATTAATTTTTCCCCTGCAACGTTAAAGAACCACTAATTCAGAAAATCGAGTGATCTTCGAGCAGCCATAACTTCGAGAGAAAAAATCGTACGACAGTCTACCTAGAATAGTTTTGAAGGGGAGACTTCCTTCTATAAGACCCTTTGAAAAAGAATTTAAAAGAAAATTCTTAAGATTCAGCAGAGCGATTTGAATCTTCAAGATAGAACGAAGGAAGAAGCAGCAGAAATTCTGGTCGCTTATCGATCGCTCGACCCCGCCCGAATCTCTGGTCTATTATAAAAGGTGGATCTATAGATCGTTAGATTCTTTGGGTGGCGATGAGGGACTCTATCGAGGGGGGGAAGAGGAGGAAACGGGTTCCCCAAGGAGACAGGTGGACGCGGTTGACGACATCTCGACGACACGTCCGAGTGATCGATAGTCCTTTGGCCGAGGAGGACTCCCGTTGGTCGCCGGACGACTTCGTTATTATGCAAATCGAAACGGAAGTCCTTTCTCGATTCTTCCACCCGCCGCGAGCAGCCCGTAATTGCCATCTTCCGCCGAATTTTATATTCGCGCCGGCTGCATTACGTGCGCGAGCGAAATTAAGGGCGGATTGATCATCCGAGGGGTTCAATCTTCGTGCTCCTGAATTTCATACTAATTCGATGATTCACCTTTAAGCTGGTTCAACTGCGAGATATATTGCCGCATCAAGATTACCGAGTATTACATGCCGATCTAAAATCGTTGCGGTTCCGCAGTAATAACTGCAATTTTGCGGAACGTAATCTGCTTTCGATATATTTCCAGAAAATTTCGAACGACTGGCAGGGCTAGTTGCCCAGACGTCCAATTAGTTTTGATACATTAACGATTAGAAGTTACGGCATCCTACCCCCTATTAACCAGCGTTTCGCAGAATTACAATCAAATTACTCGAGAAATTATAATTACGAAGTAATTTCACTGCACTGTAATTCAATCATATTGTAATTCAATTATATTGTAATTCAATTATATTGTAATTCAATTATATTGTAATTCTATTACATTGTGATCTGCGTTCAATTAAATTACAATGTAATTCATAACTGCAAATGCAATACAATTACGAAATGCTAAGTAATTAAATTGCGTTAATTACGAACTGCGATGTAATCGAATTAAAATTTCGTGTTAAAAAATCGTTCATCGTATCTATGCGACACAGACGAGAATACGCGGAAGATTCTAAAAAACGAGCGTACGAAAGGAAAACGTAAAAATGTATGTATCTCGATTCGCGTCGAAGTTCTGGTCCGTAATTTGAAGTATTGTATTTCGATTACATTGTATTTTAATTACATCGTATTTTAATTACACCGTCTTTTAATTACATCGTATTTTAATTACATCGTATTTCAATTGCACTGTATTCGATTTACACTGGTCGGTGATATTTTTCTAACGAATATCAAATTTTCCGAGCGCACGGGAATTTGGAATTTCATGGAATTTCACCACCTATTAACTAATGTTATTAACGGATGTCATTGGACATCCGGCTGGAATAATAATTTGCATCGATTAACAGTATTCAGATGACCGATTTATTTCCTCTTTTTCGACGAATTCTTCTTGACCGCGGCACACGACGGTCCAAATTAGGCTACTACTCTCCCCTATCGACGATGAAATTCCGTGCACGCCGGCACGGTAAAAATGTTTCACGCGAAAGCCGTGCGACCGATTTCACCGGTGTCGAAATTGAAAATCGGCACTTATCGACGTTCCGATAGAGAGCATCATATTCCCAATATTTCGACAATAGATCAATTACGGGGTCGGGGAGTTTTCGCAACGGCGTCTCGGTAGACGGGGCATATTTTTTGAAAGCATGTTCGATTTCTCCCTGCGGTATTAATTATTGTAATTACTCTCCCGTCAATTCGGTGTCTAGCTTCCTCTTAAATCCGATGTTTTGGACGCAAGGAACTGTTGTTAACTTGACGCTACATGGTTTTCAAAAAATTGATCACTTTTATTGCTCACACGGAACCGATAAGTGAACAATCTCGCGACAGAAGAAAAGCAAAACTGTCGAATAAACAATCGAATAATTTTATTCGGGAGTAATATTGTTACCTTATTCGCGAATGGTTTGTTCACGAATAATTCATTCGCGAGTAAAATGTTATTTGTCTTTGCGACTAAAAGTAATTGATTTCTGAGCCATTATTCGTTGATTGCAACGTCCTCTCGCAATGCTAATTTATCTGTACGTTTGACCATTAAAGGCTAAAAACACCATTAAATTTCCATGGAATAATTTCAAAAGACTTCTTTCTACTATTATTCGTTACACTATTGCTACAAGTTATAAAATACCGTAATTGTCTCTGCAATAATTTTTGTTTAACTTTACAAATATGAGAGGATAATTAAAGGAAATAATATCGGTGTGGACAGTAATATTGTTCGCTTTAAGGTCAACGCATCTTACGTGTGATGTGCGAGCAAGAAAGAAATAAGTATACAGAGTATTCAAAAAAGAGCATACAATATTTACATGGTATATAGAGCATACTGTTCTGAGTAAGAAAGTCTTAGTAAACATAGGTCGAAAGGTCAATTATTTCTGAGATATAAACATTTCTGTTTGCTAGCATCGGAATTGACTTGCTTTCATCCAGCATGCTCGTCAAATAATTCGTCAAAGATGTGGAATTTTAGAGAGTTAGTGATTCTGTGAAAAAAAGATACCAGTGTTTATAAAAATGGTACGAGGATACGTGGAAAATCTTCTGCAAATATTGAGAAGTCAGTAGTAAATCAATCATGATGCTAGCAAACAAAAAAGCTTATATCTCAGTCACGGTTGTGACTCATGTTTTCTATGGCATTTTTGTTTAAAACTTTACTAAGACAGTGTTTCCTATATACCATATAAATATTGGATACTTTTTCTGAACACCCTGTATAAGAAGAATGGTGACAATCAAGGAATCGAGGCTCTCTTGTTCTGTTTATGATTTCATCAGATGCACACATATTCATTTGTGATTCGCGAATAACGAATACAAGTTTGATTGCTATGCGAACAACCTTTTCTCGAATAGATGTAGTTTATTCTTTATTCTTGAATAACGAACAGACATTTAACACTAGATTTACGGAACCCGTCAAAATGACCCGTCAAAACCCGTTTTTTTCTTTTCTAATTTACAATTATTCACATCGTAAAGCTATATTTATGAGTTATCTATTCAGTTATCTACTCATTATCTATTCTATCTATTTTATCAGTTATCTAATCACTATGAATTTATAAGTTACTCGCGGCAAATGTTACAATAGCACTTGTTAAAAATCAGAATAAATACTATTATACTGTATTATACTATAATACCGTTATAAATTAATATAGAGCAGCTGCATTTTGTGCTCCGTAAATCTAGCGTCAATTCGAATTCGTTATTCTCGAATAACGAACAGACAATTAATTCGAATTCGTCACTCCACGATGGAACGAATCGCGCTCGACTCTGCGCGGCAGTCGAAGTGTTAAAAAAGAAGAAATAAAACGGTCGTAGGGCCTGTAGTAAATTGAGTATCGAATGACGAACAATGCACTGACCTTGAGGAGCCTCCGGAAGTAAGGGCTGCAGGCAGAGAGGACGACCTTGTGCGCGGTGAAGCTGCTACTGTCGCATGCCAGCGTAACATCGACGAAGTCCTCCTCGTCCCTCAGATGGCGGAATGAGCTGAGGATGCTCGAGTGGAAGTCATTCCACCTGAGTGAGTACTGTTGCTCGCCGCTCGACGAGGACGAAGAGGCCGCCATGGCGTCCGTCCCCTCGGGACCCACGGCCGAGGGCACCAGAGGTGCTATCGTGCTCACTCTGGCACCCCACGAGGACACCTTCACTGCACCCTCTCGTCGCGTACCACCGCGCACCCCTCAATCCTTATCAACCCCCTAAACCGAACCAGCTGCCAGCCCGGGCCGCGTCCACGCGCGATTGCTTATCGCTGAACCACGTAAACAATCGCCTTGGATCAATGAGTTTTCGTTCTCGGAGCGAAGCCGATCCACTCGCTGCCCTCTCCACTCTCAATTATTACCCAGCCTTGACCTCGTTCTACGCTTCTCTCTCTATCTATCTCTATCTCTCTTTCTCTCTTCTTTTTTTCTCTGCCAGCAATAACGATTTTCTTTGGTAGTCCTCCCCCTCTGTCGTTTCAAGAACACGTCCCGTTGACTCTATGGGTTGGTCTCTCCGGATTGGTCCAGAGGAAGCGATCGCCGGAAGAACGATCTCTCGGCTGCTGTCAGGTGTAAGGGAACTTCGTGGCCAACGTGGATCTCATAATAACGACATCGTGATAGCGACGAGAGGACGTTGTCCGCCGCTGTCCGGGTACGCTGAGACAATGAGCCCGCGATCGGTTCTGAAAACAATGCGACGGCTATTGTGAGGCTCGGCTCGCCGCGCCGGCACGTGACGGCCGCCTATCGGACATTTTTGAATACCGATCGATAAACACCCGGCGGAGATCCGCGAGCGTTATAAATTCAATCGTGCAACGAGCCTTTGCACTCGAACCAATTTTGTTGCTTCGGCGAACGCGTTATCCGTTATCGCTAATTTCGAAGACGCGAGCTGTGTACAGTACACCGCGCGAAAATTATCGGATGGCTCGGTCTCAGAGTCTGGCGTTATTTCGACACAACATTTCCGACGAATTCTTCGAGCAAAATTTGACTCGGGTAACGTTGCGAATAGATTCTTCGAATACAGTTTTATTTCGATAATATTTCGAATTAAATTTTACTCGAGAAGTTCTTCGTTGCAATTGTTACTATTGAATATTTTTATGGTTCTTGCAAGCAATAAACGTAGAAAGATTCATGGTTTGCTAAGCTTACTGGTTGAATGGGTGACACAATGTTTTCTGTAGATCAGTTGCAAAAATATTGATATATTATTGTACTTGTTGGACTCGCGTGTTTTTACGGACAACGTTAAATACCTTTGAAACGAAACACCCTTTAAACATGTAATCAAAATTCTTATCGGCAGACCGAGGCAATAGATAACAAGATTACATCTTTATTTGCTCCGATTGCAGATGGCTCGATACAAATTGTTATTATTTCGTATTTATTACACCGGGGATTTTCAACAGCGTTGCAGTATAAAACACAATGTACTTTGGATAATCAAATAATAATATTTGATACATATAATCACGTTTGTACGCTATATTCTGAAAAACAATGACTGATGTTTCTCAGCTCCGATGAAATGCTGATAATTTCATAGACGATACACGATGCAACTTCGAAGCACGATTAAGCGACAAATAAAAGATACTGCTAAAGTTTCTCTAGGTTCTTTTTGTGAAGGGGAAGTTCCAATTTTTAAGTCGGTGATAGTTTCGATTACGACACAAATTTTCCAGTGATTCTAGGGTACTACTTTCGTCTAAATACAACAAATAATTTATGCGAATTGTTGTGTGTGTATGTAACTGTGAAGCACATGTGTTCCTGTTCTAGTTATCTCAGCATTGTAATCCGTAATAAAAATATATATGAAATCCGCTCTGTAATAATGTAAATTATAACATGAATAAATAGATAAAATAATGTATTCGAATAAATAGATAGAATAATACATTAGAATAAATAGATAAAATAATTTACTAGAATAAATACATAAAATCATTAAAAATAATTTATTCGAATAGATAGATAGAAATAATTTACCCGAACAAATAAATGGAACAATTTATGACAAATAAATGGATTGAATAATTTATGGCAAATAAACAGATTGAATAATGTATGACAAATAAATAGATTGAATAATTTATGACAAGTAATGAACAATTGTCGTTCGAATAAAATATTCGAGTAAAAATAATTCATTTGAATAATTAGATAAATATTTATTCGAAATAATTCGAACAATGTCCAACTCCGTGTCTAACCGTAATAAATGAAGGCAAGTTTTTACTCACCCGATGTATGAATGACCCAACGACGCGCTCGCGATTCTGCCCTCTATCAGTCCGTTTCTCCGCCGTCTCAACCAACCACCAACCACGTATCACTTTCTCCCGTTCAACGAAGTCCTTGCACCCTCTGCCCTGCCACAGTTTGACAGACGCGTCATTCCGACATCCGTTGACGAGAGGCACGACGACAATCCTGTCGATGCTTCTCAGTCCTCTGGGCGCTCTCGGCTCGATAAATCTCCAGCAGGTCACTTGATTGTCTCGGTGCACTTGTGTCCTTGCTTATCATGCCCCTCACCACTGCTTCTCACTCTCTTTCAGAATCCTTGTCTCTCTCTCTTCGTCTCCTCTGGCTCCTTGTTCTCGGTCCTCTCCCGTTCTACCTCCTACACAGCCGCCTTGATCTCTCTCCTATCCTGCGGACCGGATAAAAAGGCCAGGTTAACAGGCGTTTGCATACGAGACCCGTCGCCGTCCACGATAATGGACGAGATTATAAATGAAACGAGCAACGGCCGAGCATTCCGACGCGACCCGCGCCGTTCCTCTTTTCCTCACGAAAGCACTCGAATCGAAACTCTCGGCCAAGTTCTACGGTTGCTTGGGAATTTTCTGATTTGAAGCCGTGCAGCTGCGACCGAAAGGAAATTCCGAGATCGTAGAAATTGAAAAAGAAATTGCAATAGTAGCTTCCAAAATTGGAGAAAATAATTCAACGATTTATAGAGTATTTGTTAGTATGGATTTTATGCATTTATGACAACAGAATGAATAAATGAAATACGAAACTATGCTGACGTTACTACAATTTAAAAATATTGTTACATTGTTGCCAATTTATTACAACTATTAGAAAAAAGGAATACATGTTTATTCAACTCTTGTTTGCTACAATTCATTCAAAAAATGTTTATTCTGCTTACAAATTTTCAACTCATCAAAATTGTGAAATGAAGAAATTTATCTTGCTGTAATTTCTACTTCTTGCAAATTCACTTGGGACATTTTTATTTTGCATCAAGGTCCGCTCACTATTTGCCACAATACTTTTAGTACAATCATGTGTTTTAATGGATTTAGCATGTACTCGCTGAAAAGCAAGCTTTGCTATTAGTATAACACAGTGGCAGCTTCTATGAGAGTCGTTTCTCGTTGCGATAATGTTGCCAAGAATTTCAAACATTTTAAAACAGTGACGGACTAAAGTGAACATTTGAACAAATAACAAAATTAACGAGAAAGTATCTTAATCATTGTACAGTAAACTAGTCACTTCTAACATTAAAAGAAGACAAATTCAAATCATGCGGTCCAGTTCGAATGAAATCATTGCGCTTCAAAAGGTGTACGAACACTTTAATCCGTCACTTTACGCACGAACAGTGCACGACTCTATAAAGTGTGCTGTAACCATTGTGCACGTCGTTGAATTATTTTATGACTTCATCGACACGATCTCCGGGGTTCCTTCTCACTGCAAGCACCAAGTCGTTGTACGTACTTCAACTTTACCGGGAATAATTTACAAGCTAGTGTCGCAATGTTTCGAGTACTTTCGTGAGCTGGTATACACGGATCGTCGTGGCGATCGCGCGGTGTGCCTCGATCCTGCGGGGATCCATGAACGATCTCCACAGTCAGTGCACGGTCGTTTAAGTAGCAAGGAGTCGCATGAAACGATTTCTCAATGGGAAAACCCGTGTTATTCATATTTATGAAAAGTGGGCTGAATGTTGCTGAATCTTGCGTGAATCACTAGGGAAAAATGTGACAGGTGACTCTCTGTGACGATGTAAGTGCCGTGGTGACGTGAAAAGAAAAGAAACGAGAGGGGATTACAGGGCGGGGAAGAACGGGTAAAAATGTATGTTGTTTTATGATTGTGAATTGTAGAACGATCGTGGGAGAGAGACGGCGGACAACAATGCGAGGAGCGTATGAATATCTGGATGCCCGGCGATAAGGCTATCGGTCTTGTTTACGATCCCGTGAATTTACTTTGCACCATTCTCGGCAAATATTAGAAAACGCGATATCGAACGTGCGCACGGCCGGCCCGTAATTACTTCTCCGCCTTTAATTACGGGAAGGGCCCGATTTCATCGGGGCGCTGGTTACGTTTCAGCTTTGTAAACAGTCACGGAACACCTTCGAATATTCCGCGCGGTGGGTGTTGCTTTTAAATTACAGAGGCGTGCTAAGGCTGCCGGTGGAGCACGCGAACGTTATTGGATTACAAAGTGACTGCGAAACGATTTCTGGAATCGGATCGGAGTCGATACGAGCGCGTTCGTCTTCGATTTTATCGGAGATCGCGCGCGCGCGCGGAATCTCTCACGATTTTAACGATAGAATCAGCGAACGAGACACAGTGACTGATTCTTAACAATTATCGAATTTATAAAGGAATTTTTTTTGATACAGTTCTTTAGACATGCATACGGAGAGCAACAACAATCAGACAGCTTTCTGAATTTTTTTAAAACTGGGCCAAATGAGTCGAGATTTCTCAATGGGAAAACCCGTATTATTCATATTTATGAAAAGTGGACTGAATGTTGCTGAATCTTGCGTGAATCACTAGGGAAAAATGTGACAGGTGACTCTCTGTGACGATGTAAGTAAGTTGAGGTGTTACAGAGACTACTTTATTAGACAATGCCTAAAACATTTTATCCACGGAACACGTTGTTTAAGGTTTTATTACATGATCAGATGAAATAGTTGGATGAACAGTATTTTCTTAATCTTTTTTTTGTCATTTTAAATCATTAGAATTTTTTACTCATTGACTGGTGAACTAGTGCAAAAGTCGTTATATAGTCAGTTTTACATCTCAAGAAAATCTAAATCGTTTGGTTTCATTCTAAAAATGTTATTTTGTGTGTGTGTGTGTGTGTGTGTGTGTGTGTGTGTGTGTGTGTGTGTGTGTGTGTGTGTGTTTTGAAACGCAATATTATCGTCGCTCGCTTCATTACAGAAGAAATTGTACGAACTTTGAATAAACGTGATCTTGTCATCGTGATACCCGGACTGCGGATTTTATGCAGTTTTAACGACAACGTCGAATAACAAATCTGTGAAGACAGAAAAATTTGATATCCCGATGCTTAGAATAACCGAGGTTCCACTGTACCTCTAAACATGACGGTGATTTACGAATGGAATGATTGATACACCTTCTTTCATGTTGTCGAGGAATAAGCTGAAGACAATTGAAGTATCGAGGTAACACGGTGCGCGACCATAGTCGAGGAACACATACGCCTCCGAGCACTTGCACATTATGAAACTGACATAATGACCAGAGGAGGATTTCGCAAGCGGATACCTAGAAAGCGTTACGAGGCGTAGAGAGCGAGCGCGCCTTATCTCAGTTTCGATACTGAAATTAAATACTCATTTTCCAGTCCGCGGAGGAACGAGTTCTCCGCACAACGCCAACGAAATCAGCTGATCAGTGTACAAGCTGCTACAAAATTACGAACCCGAATCCGACGATCGTTCAAGGACATTATCCTCAAAAGAATACTTCATCAGATTCTGCTTCACAGTTTCTTCAATACAGTTTAACAGTTTGTCAGACTCCTGACAAAGATTGTACACATAATCTACTGATTATAAATCTGATTGATTTCTTCCAAATCAGAGGAAAATATAATTCTCCAAGAAACAAAAGTTGTCTCGTACCAATTAGGAACGTTGTTAAGAACGAACAAATTCTGATGAGTGTAGCTGTGAGAGAAATGTAACTGATTATGCTTGATATCGTCTGTAATATCGTTCGTTAATTTTTTTAGACATATTTTCTAAGGTACTTTCTCTGTGCAAGTTACTATTTCTATTTATCACTAAACCTAGCAAACCCTAAAACCGATGAACGTGCGTCGTTTTATACGAATAACAGAATTAAAGTTATTAGACTTCTCGACATTTTTACTACAATGTAAACTGGAACACGAGACTTTGTTCGATCGTTTCTTGAGAAAGATCTTTCCTAACAAAAAAATGTGAGACTGTTCGGAAGTAATTGAGCGGGTTAGAATTGTAGTGGCGTAAGTGTGACAGCGACATCCAGTTTGTATATCGTTTTGTATGTGTGCGACCTAGTTTAGGAGAAACACCGCAACATTAAACACGTATCGTTCTGTTATAAGCAGAAATCTACAAAGTATAAAACAGGTTCATTTTCACTGCGCGTAACGGAACTCGCGAAAAAGTATACACGCAAAAAGCATTAACAGCGATCGGCCATCTAAACCGGTGTGGTAAATTTAGCGTTGATAAAACATGTAGAAATTTCGATTAAACGTCACAAACCAGATGGTCGAACATACTTGTTCGTCCTTAATAATGTTGCTAATGGAACGAGACAACTTTTGTTTTTCATCTTTTTTTTTGGAGAATGAGTTGCAAAGAAAATCTAGAATATTTCTCGGCAAAAATGATGAACGTATTCTTAGCATAGAACGCGCGTTCGTCTTTCACCCCCCTAATTTTGTAACGTTCTGTATCCACCAATCAGATGTCCAATCGCGACAGAATCGTGCAACGTTCCACGTGCGCTCATATTCCATTATGCCGTGTGAATGAATCCCGTGTCCCTGAATATATTTTGACGAACGATCGATGGATGAGCTTACGCTCGAACAGTTCCGCCCGTCCGCCCCTCCGGCCCCCGCAAACACGCCTTGCGTTCTGCAAACAGTGCGAAGTCGATCGACTGGAGCCCCACCGACTCGTGATCCACGGGATCACAGATGGTCGATCGACGTAGAGATCGGCTGGAACTCGGCGTTAATTGTCAGCCTCCTAGCTTTATGATACATCGAGACACAAAGGAGACTTATTCGACGTAAAAACACGTTGATCTGCATACGTCCGGCGCACGGCAGTGATTTATGGAGGCGAGGAGATCGACGGGAGCCGGTTGAAAGCCGACATCATTAGCGATCGTTGCTTTTGTGCCTCCGGCTCGAATAACTTCGATCTTTTTACGATGCTTAGCCGTGTCTGCCTTTTGTGCGCCGGTTTAATTGAGAAAAAATCGGCGCCGAAAGTATCTAATTACTCGACTTTGGGCTTTTGTGGCAAGAACGAGTAGCTGGAGCACGAGAGAGCGAAGTGTAAAGCATCGGGAGAGTTTATACAGGCAGAGAGAGAGAGAGAGAGAGAGAGAGAGAGAGAGAGAGAGAGAGAGAGAGTCGCGCTATAAAGTACAAGGGAGCGAAATGTAAGGTAGAAGGGAGTAAAATATGAAGGGAAAAGAATGTGTAAAGTATGAAGTGAAAAGAGAGTAAAATGTGAAGCAAAAAGTGGCTGAAATATAAAGTAAAGAGGAAATGAAATATAAAGTAGAGAAGGGTGAAGTATGAACTAGAAAAGGACGAAGCAAAGGTATCGAGACGGTTAGTAA